TAAATTTCGTTATTTCTTTTGCGTGAATAGCGAATTGCACGTGGGGCCCACATCGGGAGCGGGGGCCACCCGATAATCCCGAGATCACACATTATATTCATCTTGGTCTTGATAATATGTATATGGTGGTGGACATCATAGTAGGCCCATAGAAAGAGCATAGAGTTGACCCGTTGGTCAAACGAGGCCCAAATACCGGTATTGGAAATTTATCGGATAACAGCCCGAAATGAATTTCGGAGACTCCTAAATTAAAGTTGGGAAATGTACATCTATTTTAAAGTCCTATAATGATTAGAAACGTGTGTTATATTTTATTTGGTCTGATAAAATAAAATATAAATAAAATAGTCCGAAAAATACAACTTTCGAGGCTGAAAATACACGTCGGGGCATAAATGGGTGACCTCCCACATGTGTGGGGGGCAACTTACGTTTTTCAGCCTTGCATAGAGCAAGGAAAGCTGCAGAGGTGCATGGCAGGCAAGGGGGTTTGACTTGGGGGACAAACAAATTAAATGGGGTAGGACCCCTTTCTTATATTATTGAGAGAAATGCCAAAGGTGGCATTCCCAATCACTCTCCCACTCATTAGCTCGACCAGCACCAAGGAAATAGAGAAAGGAGAGCTTTGAAACTTCATCCTCCATATCCAAACTCGAGCCCAAGCTCAAACAAGAAAGAGAAAGAAGTTTGGAGAAGAAAAAGGATACGAAAAGTGTAAAGAATTAATGTAATGACCTTATAATAACTTTTCCTCTACTTCTTATCTACTTTATGACTTATATATCATATGGAGGACCCCTAGGATTGTTCTACATGTTTATAAGTGTAGAACAAGGGGTTGGAAGGTAGTTCTAAGTCCAAGAACGGACTTAGGAGCCAAATGACCAGTTCGTCGGAAAATAACCTTTTAGAGGTTAGTTGTGTTGATATGGGTTTTGTGATGATAAAACCTTGTTAGGAGCTTGAGTAAGGTGTTCCTAACTGTCACCGGAGTATCGCCGTAGTATCGTCGGAGTTCGCCGGAGTATCGCCGGAGTTCAACCGAGAAGGGTAGAACTTCTTAAAGCTCATTCGAGGTGAAGATGGTTGACTATATTGCTTATAATTAGTGAGTTAATTTCATGAGATTATCTAAGATAATTAAATGCATTTTTCATGGATTATTAATGGTTAAAAATGCCTAAGAATGAGAAGACTATTGTCTATAAGGAAAGGAGCATGATATACAAATTCAGGAGTAAATTGTGTATGATCATGTGTTATGATTATGAGTATGTTGACTCGATAATGGAATTAACTATGAAATGCATGTTGAAATATACTTTTTACTTCATATAAGAATGTATGAATGATTAAAAGTGATATTTTGTATATCAATATAAAGATGATATTTTCAATGGAAAATGAGTTGGGCATTTTATAAATGACCATGAATGGAGAACTTGGTTTTGTTGGAATTAATTGGACTAATATTGATATACTAGTTGGACATTAAAGTGAAATCTTGCTAAATTGATCCTAAGGTTGGATTGTGAAATGTTATGCCTTAAGTAGGCTTAAGAGATGCTCTAAGGTAGGAAAGTATGAACTTGAAGTTATACTAGGGGTAGGCTTTAAGGAATACTCAAGTGACGTGCACTTTGTCATGGTGCGTCAAAATAATATTCAATACTAACACTTATACGTAGTATAGTGTAGTAAGGTCTGTATCCACAGGGACATGAATACTTTTCTTTTTATGAACTTAGTAAATAAAAGGGGGATTTTGGTGTTGAATGATTTAATTTAATTAAAAACTAAGATGAACAACCTATATGTGTTTTAATCCAAAGATAAAAGAACTTGGCATTGCTACTTTTCACTTGTTGATATATTTTAGTCGATCACTGGAGTATATCCAATTCATCGAGGGTAGTTATTAACAACGAGACGCGTTCATTAATAAAACTTACTACCGAGTCAATATAGAATACGCGCCGTATATTAACCTGATAGTAGCAATAAACTTAAGATGAAAACGATTGAGATTGATAACCTCAACACAAGCGGTTTATTGGTTTGATCAATATAATTAATTCCCCTTAGATTATTAACCATGAGACGCATGCATTAATAATCCAAGTTTTACTACCGTTTGAAAGAACCGAATTAATAACAAGCGTATTAATCGATTGATTCTAGTAATAATTAATATATGAAACAAAACTAGTTGATCCTTTAAGTAATGTTCAAAATATTAATATGAAATATGAATAGTAATTAATTAATATTCAAGGAAGAATATTATTAAAGGAGATGAATCCTACTATAATTAATATCAAGATGTTAACTAATTGTCATCTTAGCAACACTCCCCAACATTAATATAGAGGAAGAAAATACTACTCCAACTAATGTCAAGAACTCGAGATGTTAACTAATTGTCATCTTAGCAACACTCCCCAACATTAATGTAGAGATAGTATTAAGGAAAGAACTAATAATTAATATTCAAGGGAAGAAGTTAAGAAAATAACTCACAACTTTAATAATCAACAAGCTTCAAGAGCAACACCAAGAATTGGAAGTTTAGCTCCTCATTTGGAGACTAAACATAGCTAGAAAAATATAAAGAAATGCTATTCTAAACTGAGCTTAAGAGTATGGAAGAAAGGATGATTTTTTGAGAAGAAAAACTGTGCTATTTATAGGTGTTTTTCAACACCTTGGGCCGGGTATCCGACCGGGTCAAGTGCCCACCCGACCGGGTCCGGTCAAAATCAGATATCCTCCACGTTCTGGTGATCTTCGGCACGTTAAAATGTCCCGGATCAAGTCAGACCTGACCGGTGGAATAGGGGACCCGACCGGGTCCAGTGATTTTCCAGGTATCTTCGTCTGTTAAATCAGACCCGACCGGGTGAAGTCTTCTACCCGATTGGGTAATTGCTCCTGGACTGTCAAAATCCATTTTTCTTCACTTCAAAGTCCTCCTTTTCAACACTATAATTCCTAATTCTACTTTACAACTTACAAAATGAAGTTTAAAATACAATTACAACTAAAATCTCACAAATGTTTACAAACTACATAAAACGATAAACAATCCACACAAATCAAACATAAAAAGATACACTTATGCACTACTAATTAGTGCATATCACCAAGATAAATTGAATAATAAATTGCTCCTAGGAGTCCTAGGTATAGGATTGGCCTACGGGCGTGTTTGGTAGCCTTTGAGGATAGCCGGTCGAATTATGGGAATAAGTAAGGACCATGGCCCTTCCCAACTCTAGAAAGCAAGGTTGGATAACATGGACTTGCATCGTGATCACAGGTTAGGGTGGAATCCGAATGGAGACCTAACTAGGCTCCGACAGCGGTAACACGTAAGATAGGACCCCGAAGGGTCTTACCTTTCTACGGGATGATGGGTATGAGTCCACGGGCGGGATGTTGAAATCTGAACCGAGAGCCTCGTGAGGCCCCGAACAGCGGTAGCAAATCCTGTAGAAATAATAAGACCCACGGGTTGGTTGTACAAATGATAAATGAAAAGGAAAATATAAGAAGGGTCGTGTGCCGACAAATAAATGGATTACTTATTATCGAGATAATAAGTGGGAAATATAAATTATTATTTATATTATGATATCACCCTATTTTGAGGGTCTTAGAAATTGAAACGTTGATTATACTCGGTATAGTTGTCATTGTACTTGTCAAATGCTTCCAAGTACTGACCTCCCCTTCACGGGGGAGGCCACCTCACAGTTTCAAGTAGGAGTTGAGCTGCTACCAACGCCCGTTGCTCCGGGGAGATCAAGGGAAGAGGACGTGGTTCGTGCTTCTCCCGTTCTGTTTTAAAAACACTTGTAGTAATGCTCATCGATATTATTTTTGAATAATTATTCGGGAGCTTGTATGCTCATGTTTGCCAAGTGTGGCATAAACACTTGTATTAAATGTTTCCGTTGTTTTAAAATGAATGTTTTACATTATGTTTGTTTATGGATGTACTATGTGTGAATGGTATTCAAGATGCCTTGTATAGTATGGATGTGTTGGACTGCGATTGACTATTCATACTGTACAACGGGTTGTTGACGTGTTCGGGTAGGTCCGGGGCGTGACATACATTCGTTATTGTCACATCCAGATCTTCATTCCACCCTAGAGCTAAACCCCCTCCTTGACCTTCGACATCTGTACCCTCAACATTAGCATAACCCAACGGTCGCAATATCTCCCTTGCACGTTGGTATCGAAGCTTTGTGTTCATCAAGAATATTACAGACAGGCAGTGTTGTTGAACGAGATCAGTTAGACACTGGACTGATGCTGGATTTCCCAAACCTCTGCAATTCCAAGCTATGATACTCATGGAGGCCGGAAAAGCTTAATCAAAAATCCAAAACTCACCACCACCTCCAAGACTGCCAACAAAGCGGGACTTCAAGACATAGGATCCAACCAAAGAGTAACCGCCGATTGACCGTGCTCAATACTGCTACGGTAGACGCAATTATCAGCAACCGGTGCTGCGACCAGAAAGGTCACCACCAGACAATGCCCTAGGGGAACCCTAAAGTTACTCCCTCAATGTTGCAAAGTCATCACAATCAACTTATTCAATCAATTCCATGCTTATTGTACGTTGTATATTCACTTTATGCTCCTATTGTTATAATTTTACTTTTATTTACTCCCATTTAGGAAATTGTCCCTTTTTCTAAATGCTGAAATTACAAAATAAGAAAAGTTTCCAGTTGTCATTTATTTATGCCAAAAAGTCAAAACCTATGCTCGCTTTCAGGCATCATTTCAGAGAATGCTCACCTTTTCCATCTTTTATTAAGCAATACGCAAACATTACCTTTTTCTATGACGGGGAAAAGTTGCTAATCTTTGAGTGCGCACTAAACCCTCAGGCTCAGCCGCCTCAGCGCAATAACTTGCTAACCATGCCACCCAAACAAACCAAAATAGTAAGCAGGCTCGATCGAGAATATGTTGGGAAGAAGAATTGAATTTTGAGCTTTCAATCACGTGTCAAACGTTACCTTAAACCACCAGAACGTAGGTAAGAGATAAGAAGATCCTTCAGGATCAGGAGACAACAATTAAAGACAGAAATTTCCAGCAATCCAGCACAATTGATGTCAGAGACATAATAAGTTACATAGGATTTGTTGGCTACGTACAAAATACAACACCAAATGGCAAATTATTCCGTTCTACGTGCAGCCGTGCAGGGAGGTAATTATATATCATATCATCATTGTAAGCAAGCAACAGAAACTGACTTTTGTTTTTTGGACAATCACATGGTTGGCCTTACGTTGAGATGCGAAGCTACCTTCTCACCAAGAGACTTGTCCGTCTGCAACACATTTAACCATAAAACAAAACTCGGATTCGATTTATAAGTCGTGGCCTAAATTTAATGTGCAAGTCTGTGAGAAAGTTTAAGAAAACCTGAGTCCAGTATGAAATCCAAATACTGCGCACTTCATGGGTGACTCGTGGGTCAGACAATGCCTCAACCCATCGCCGAATAAATCTTTCTTTCCTGGTTTATATTAAATATGATAATAAATGGTTAACTATGCCAGAATTACTAAAGAGTTTACTTCATGACATCTTTGCAAGAACATAAACATTAATTAAATTAACAATGTTTCAAATTAAATAATTAACTGATTACTATACCTATCTGGTGTCCATGATCTGTATCTCTCTCCTGGTTGCTTGAAGTTGTTTTCCTTGTCAATTATGCACTGCATGAATAGTGTGAGACTTTGTCTAGATTCTATAGAAGAAATGATAAAGATATGGTCATATCATAGTTTTATGTTTATAGCTAACTGTAGACCCTGTTCAGTAACTTTAATCAGCCCTGCTAAGTCTGCTTACAAGTAGAATTACGCAGAATTTTGAAAAATAATTGCCTCAAAACAAGTAATTTTGACCTATTTATTTAGCTGGGCTCAGTTTTAACCAATTCAAAATGCTTTTCCTTTAAGATAACAAAGCAGATACCCTTCCGGGCTGGCTTCCATGAATGATCTTTACTGTTTTCAGAAAATAGACCATCCTAGACCATCAATGACAACTGACCTTCTCACGCTTTCCGGTCAGCACACGTGGAGGAATAGGGTACTGTTCAGCGTGCCGACAAGCATCATACCGCGATGGGAAATAATTTACCTGATCAAATAGGTTTTACAAAAAAACCATAAGGCAGCTCGATAAACAAGTACCAAGAAGAAAAAGGAATAAACAAGGAATACTACATACTTCCTCATCCCGATGCATGAAATTCATAAAACCATCATGGTGGTTGTTGTGATGAGCACACTTGGGAGCATTTACAGGAAGCTGGAGATAGTTTGGGCCAAGGCGGTACCGTTGGGTATCAGAATACGAGAAAATCCGTGTCTGGAGCATCTTATCATCAGAGTAATAGATGCCAGGAACCACAATGGCAGGGCAGAACGCAAGCTGCTCGTTTTCTGCAAAGAAGTTGTCAATGTTCTTATTCAAAACCAAACGCCCCACTGGCTGCAATGGCAATATGTCCTCTGGCCATGTCTTGGTCACATCAAGCGGGTCAAAGTCAAACCTGTCTTCGTGATCTGGATCCATAGTTTGGATAAAGAGTTTCCACTCTGGGTAGTTTTCGGCTGCAATTGAGCCATAGAGATCCTGGGTCGCATGGCTGTGATTAGCGCCCCCAACCTTAACACATTCTTCCTCCAAAAGACATTTCACACCACAAGTTGGTTTCCAGTGAAACTTCACATAGTGTGCTTTCCCTCCCCTGTTGATCAGGGTGTAGGTATTCACCCCGGAACCTTCCATGTGCCTGTAATCTTGCGGGACACCCAAATCATCAAAGAGGAAGGTGAACATATGCAGACTCTCAGGGTGGTGGGAGAAGAAATCAAGGATCCTCCAGTTCTCCTGTATGTGAGACTTGGGGTTTGGTTTTAGTGCATGAACCATGTCCGGGAACTTCATCCCATCCCGAATAAAGAAGACCGGGAAATTGTTTCCGACCAGATCAAAGTTACCCTATAAAACAAACAAATCACTAGCATTAAACACATGTTTTATTTTTGGCAAGCGGCAAATATCATTTCAAATGCGTAAAAGGGGTACATTAATGGTCTGTTTTGATGGAATGTTTTAGAGGGGAAGTCTTTGGAGGGCTAGGGTCTATTAACATTTGGGGTTCCATACTGTAGTCGAGGGCGGATACATGGACAATAATTAGGCCTAATTACCGGTAAACAGCGTACCATAAATCATTAGCTCAACATATAATTAAATTATAACCTGACCCGGCTCTCATATCATATTAAAACTTGGCTATCCATCCTAAAGCGTTGACAGATTAACCTGATAGGGGAGTAAAACTAGATCTTACACCTTGTTGTTATTGCTAGTGTGAAACAAATACATCAACAGTTTGTAATCTCAAAGAAAGTAGTTGAAATGCTATAAGACTGCACAATATGTTAATCTTTCAGCTTTATAAAATTTCAATTAAATATCAAGATTCAAGATACAGACAGCTCTAAAACCCATCTAAAGAGACTGTAAGAATACGGGTGGAAAAATGATAGGACTCAGAGTACTGTTATTATTAATCCCAATAGGGATTTCGGCAAGGTGTATACACGAAGGAGTAGAATAAAGAGTTAGTTAGACAGGTGAGAAGTTAGTTGGGGGAGAGAAGAAATAAAAGGGGTGAGAGTAGAGTACGAAGGAAGCTGTTATTCAGTTAGAAAGTAGACCCTAGAGAGCTCTGGCACTCTTGAAATTGCCCAGAATTGTTCAACTCTGTAATTTTTCATTCCTGCTGAAACAATGTGAATAAACTTCCAGTTTTATTGATTCTGTTCTAGTGTAGACCTTAGGATATTGTGTGTTGTTCTATCATTTAGTATCAGCGTGTACCCTCCTGGAGGTGTTGAATTGAAAATTCCAAAGTATTGATTTAAAGAACTGTGAATGACCTTGACAATGAAGGCAAAGATGGAGAATCGACTTGAAAGTATGTGAAGATTCCTCATTCCTGAGTTTTAGTTTTTCCTTATTTGTTAACATTATTTAGCTTGGAGGGGTAGTATTGTAATTATCAGAACTATTAGGGCTGAGTCACTGCTACCTGTCTTAGTATTTATATTTTGTTCCTTGTGTTTGATTGGATAAGAGATGAATGATAAATAATAAAGATGAGAGCATCTCTCTCAATCTCTCTCGTATCCTCTTGTATCTACAAGAGAGTAGCAGAATTCTTGATGGTATCAGAGCAGCAGCACTCGATCCTGCTCTAATCGAGTATCATTCTTCAACGGGCTGGTCAGGTCTCTTCTGAATCAGTGATTTCCCTGGTGGGTTCATTCCAAACCAATTTTTTCTCTTTTTCCCTGTTCTTACTGGGTTCTTTCACTACTCTCTCATCATGAATAATACTTCAATCAAATTTCGTAATGTACCTATTGCCATAGTCAGTGATGATCTTAGTTCCAGTACATCACTCGAAAACTCATCTCAAATTCAACCAACGATTAATCTCGATTACAGCTCTTTGCCCACAGCATATAAACTGAATGGTCAGAACTACAACCTTTGGTCTCACTCTGTTTCAATCTTCATTGGAGGGAAAGGTAAAGAAGAATACATGTCTATTGATCTCGTCCAACCGGAAGATAAAAGCCCAGGTTACAAAAATTGGAAGGCAGAGAACAATATGGTTATGTCATGGAAAACCATCTGCGTGGAAACCTAATGCGCGTGTAAATGTAGCAACTAGTGACAACCAAGAGGTTTTTAGCAAGGAACAGATGGAAGCTCTTCGGAAGATGTTGCAAATCACACCCCATGAAGACAAAGGATTGCAGTTGTTGCCCACCAAAATGGATTCTCATCTGCATTTGTAATAAGTGCATCTGGTGAGTGTTAGAGACTCTACTAATCCGAGGGGAGATGCTAAGTACTTTGGCAAAGTTTATTCTAGAAGGATGTCTAGTTAGTTATTAGTTATAGTTGTTGATATATAGCTAATAACTGTTTACCGGTTAGTAGAGTAGTTACTTACTATAAATAGTAGTAAGCTGGATATTGTTGACAGGTTGTTTCAGACTATTGTCATTTCTGGGAAGATAGGAGTTGTATTCTATCTTTGGGGGGCTTCGGCTCATTGTTTCCTGCGAGAATAAAGTTGCGATTGAGTTCTTTGTAGATTCTGTGATTGTGTGTGGAATTGCAGAGTTCTAACAGTGAGAAACATTGGGTTGTTGATTGTGGTGCCACTGATCGATCACCCGAGGATAGGAATATACTTGCTGAATTCCAACCTGTACCGAATGGACGAACCATACGAGTTGCTACTGGAGAAGGCACACAAGTGTGATCACCCGAGGATAGGAATATACTTGCTGAATTCCAACCTGTACTGAATGCACGAACCATACAAGTTGCTACTGGAGAAAGCGCACAAGTGGTGGGCATTGGTACTGTTGTCATATCCAAGAATATAACAGTTATACGTTCCTAATCTCGATTTCAATTAGTTAGCTCCTATTAAACTAATGAGGGATCTAAAATGCATTGCTATCTTAACCCCATCTTCATGCATGTTTCAGGCCTTGAGTTCGGGGAAGATGATTGGCAGTGCTAAAGTCTGATGAGCTCTACCACATGGAAGCCGAGCATTCGGGAAAACGTCTAGTTTCATCTTTATTTCATGTTTCCAGTAACAACAATGTGATGTTATGGCATCATAGGCTGGGTCATCCAAATTTTCATTACTTCAAAAGTTGTTTCCTCATTTATTGAATAAAAGCCCAAATGATTACAATTGTGAAGTGTGACAATTATCCAAGCATGTTAGACATTCTTATACTCCACTCCCGTATAAATCCTCTCATCCATTCTATTTAAATCATAGTGATGTTTGGGGACCCTCGAGAGTGAAAAATATCTCTGGTGCGAGATGATTTATTTTTTGATGAAAGGTAAGTATATTAATAAGCATCCAAAAATAACAAATACATGTATCAAACTATAAAGCTAGTAAACTAATTAAATAGTGTCCAACCATTCAACCCCCCTAAGGAGGCAAGTGGGGAGAGAAAGTTTTTAGGTGAAAGAACAAACGGCGTAGGACAGGCCCCGGCTCGTATCAAGGTAACTAAAGTTGTACCAGCCCCGAAGGGCCAGCCCAGTAACAAGTCATAACCCTCTCGTAGGGGGCTGTCCATGAGCAAAGAGGCCCAATTCCAGCAAGATCAAGTAACCAAACATTGCTCAAACAATTCCACGTGTGCCCGGGAACCAGTACGCAGCCCACCTGACCGACAGCCCAACCCGCATTTCGCTTGGAGACCCATCCATGCTTCAGTCAAGCTGCCCCAGCAAAGCAATGCAGCAAGTCCCAAAGGCCCACTTCCGCATCCAGTCTTCAGAGCAGCCCAACCCGGCACCTTCCATCAGCGAAGCAGCAAGAAAGCAGGCCGAACAACTAGGGTTTCAGCCCAGATGCAAGCCCACCATCGCTTTGTCCAAGGGCCGCACTGGAGGCGCGAAAACCCAAATTCTAACAGCAACAGTAATCAATGCGGACAGAGTGGACAGGTGGTCCAATAAGCCACAGCAGCAGCCAACTGTTGACCCTCCGGCAAAGCTCCGATTGACCAACCTGCCGGAAAAGTAACCATCCAGAGAACCCATAGTCTCCGGACATCATAATCTCTGCAAGAACCACCCCAGGGCCAGAAAAACTTCAGGCACAGAGAGCTGGAGGTGAAAGTCCATCAGGGCTCAGAGATGTCCATAGCCAAGCTGGTTGATGAACATGAACATAGATCAAGTTTTCAGACGATGACCACCGGTGGTTGCAAACTCCCAATCCAGACCTTGGCCCAGCCGTGGATTCGTAACGAAGCAAACGGAGATGGAAGCTGCCTGAAGATCTCTGCCGGGAATGGCCCTCCGGTGCTGCCACAAAATACGCAACCATCAACGAAGAAGATGACACTGTTCATTCTCAAGAACAGCTAGGAGAAACGAACAGGCCTTGAAGCCGTCTGGGACCCTGATTCATCTTGACAAGCTCCCCCCACTTGTCCTCATGATACCAGGGGCCCCCAACCGTACCGGCATCCCGTCGTCAACCGAAGAAGCTGCTGACGCCGGGAAGTTTTCAGTCCAGTTGTGACAACAAGGAAAGAAGAGGTGGTCTCAATGGTCATCCTCCAAAGCACAAACCAGCAGTAGCCAAACTGCCGGACCGAACCTTGCTATTTCAAAATCAAAGCCAGAGCTGTTTCACTCCAAAACGCCGGCTCCGTATCCTCCGTCTTCTCCGGCCAACGCACGCCACCATGGCCTCAGTAATGACCAGAGCAACAGAGCTCATGGCCACAACAGATCTCCTCGCCTTTCATCCCTCCTTCCTCCACCAGAGTCCGCTAGCCACCCTCCGTTCATTACCGCCCCCGGCGTTTCCCCATAACTACTAGCGAGAATGTATAGCTGACACTGGAAGATTCCAGTGAAACATCCACCAAGGAGAATGAAGAACGCCCAGGCCATTTTCCACCCAAACTTTCAGTAGGGACCCGTTCTTCTTCGTCCCGGACCCCCAAATCAGCGCCCGAAGTTACTAGCAGCCCTTCATGTCGGAGTGTGCAGAATTCGGTGAGGTTGAACAAGGTTGGAGCTACAAACAGTCCACGAACCATCCCCTAAAACAGGGTTCCAAAAAACCATGACCTAACCTACCCGAGCCAGAAGGACTCCGAGGAAGGGAGTAGGAGAGCAAACTAGAATAATCTAGTAAGAGACTGCAAGATGATTTGTTACTTTTATAGATGACCATACTTGTGTTACTTGGGTCTTTCTGATGAAGGACAAATCTAAAGTTGGGTCAATTTTCCAGCGCTTTCATCCAATGATACAAAACCAATTTGCAACAAAAAATCAAGTACTCGAATCTATAATGCAAAGGAATACTTTCACTCTGAGTTGGACAACTACCTTACGTAGCAGTGAATTGTCCATCT